ACCATCATGGAGCAGAGCACTAAGACATAGATTCCCTGGCTCCACCCAGAGATTTTGGTTCAGGAAGCCCAGGAAGGAATCGGGTAATCTACTTTTTATTTGTAAGTTCTGTCCATTATGGTTCCCTTGTTCTGTGAACTGTGCTGATCAGCTTCGAGATTCAAGGTGGTGTTCGAGCCTCCTGACCTCTGGGTATTTCTGATACAGGAACACAAAGACTGCACACAAGAGAGGTTATAAGAAATGAGAAAGAAAGGGGCACCCTCTTACAGGCAAAGGGGGGCACAATGAAGAGCATCTGCTTTGGGAAATGGAATGGCGGTCACAAAGAAAACTGGAGACAGCTGGAGAAGGCCCTGAATGTCAACCACTACACTAGAGGCTTTACTTAGCACCTGCACTGGAAAGCAGCTAGCGAATGGCTTGTGAAGAGAGAAAAGAAATAATGATAGCCACATTTTCTGTAAGAGTTCTCTCACAAAGCTGGGCAAGATCAAGTGGAATCAAAGTATCACACATCAAGACAGCTGGCCGACCACAGATCTAAGCCCCAAGAGAAAACTCGGGAGGCATCGCCTCAAAGGGCAGTAATGGCACTCCATGACAAACTGCATGTAGGGCACAGCTCAGGGGTATTTTTCACCTACTAAACCCAAATCATAGCACTATCAGCTCCAAGGTACTTTTCAGAACTCTTCCTGGAGTATAGTTCAGTGGTAAGCCATTTGCCTAGCATGGGTGAGGCCCTGGGTTCAATCCCCGGTACTGGTGGCAGGGTGGGGAGGGTGTATATGGGTAGTCTCTTAAATAGCTGACCAGACCCAGAATCCATGAAACACTCACACACAACACAGTTCAAGAATAAGATGTGCAGACAGGTCTGAGTAGCCCACATACATGTTATACCATTTAAATATCAAGAAACACACACACACACACACACACACACACACACACACACACACACAAATGAGAACAACACAATCTCGTTTGAGCCAGAATCCTAACAAGTATCAAGCATCCAATTTCCAAACCCTCAGCAGTTTGGAAGCAAAACTTACAAAGGCAGAAGAATCTTCTGTGGATCTGACGGTTAACAGAAGAAATAAACACTTAAAAAGGACACAGGATCACACCCAGTGAGTTCTCCAAAGTCATTTATTCACACATACAAATGATTCCCCCAAGATATGAAATGAGTGGGGATCTTCCTTAGTGACACAAACACTACTACAAAATGTTCTTTAAAACAAGCAATATCTGGCTGGTCAGAAGACACAAGGTTAAAAGATGGTTCACACATGCCAACATAACCCCTCTCAACAGCAGCCACGCCACAAGCCAACAACGAAGGCAGGAGGCCCATCGTATAAACCTCAGTCTGACAGTGACCTGTGCTTTCACACAGCATCTACTGAAGACGAGCTCCACGGATGAGGTTTAACTTGGGTAACATTCTCCTGGTGACGGTGCCTCTGAATTCCATCTTCATCCACAACAAAAGCAACACTGTCAAGGTAGCCTTAAGCATATACATCCTGTCATCAGTTACTGACATGAGGCAACATCCGGTGACAGGCCACGTTGTTGTGGGATACTTGTACCCTGTGTGAAGATATATTGCTGTGATTGGTTTAATAAAGAGCTGACCAACCAATAGCTAGGCAGGAGGTACAGACGGGACTTCTGGACAGAGAGGAAGTAGGAACAGACGTACAGAGGAGATGTCAACAAGACATGGAGGGAGTCAGATATATAGAATGAAAGAAAGGTAAAAAGCCACATGGTAAGACATAGATGAATAGAAATGGGTTAATTTAAGTTATAAGAGCTAGTTAGGAACAAGCCTAAGCTATAGGCAGAGCTTTCATAAACAATAAGAAGTCCCTGTGTCATTAATTGGAGGCTGGCAGGACAGAGAAAGACTTGTTACATCACATCCCACAGCAACAGGCTGTGTGACAACCTTCAAAGGAAGCAGCAGCACGTGAGGGCCCCTTGTTTTGTTCCCCAACACCTATCAATGTTTATTAAAAATTAATACTGGCCGGGCGGTGGTGGCGCACGCCTTTAATCCCAGGACTCGAGAGGCAGAGCCAGGCGGATCTCTGTGAGTTCAAGGACAGCCAGGGCTACACAGGGAAACCCTGTCTCGAAAAACAAAACAAACAAAAAAACAAAAACCAAAAAGAATGAGTATTGTTTCACCATTATTCTAAGGATTTCATCTATTCTGCGTGATGTGTTCGCACACGTGCACACATGTATGAAGGTCAGTCATGGATGTCAGCTATCTTCCTGATGTTTTCAGACAATCTCACCAAAACCTGCAGCTTACTGATTCAGTTCCTGGGACCTTGCTGTCTTGACTCCCCAAGGCTGGGGTGACAGGTATGCCCCGGCAGCCAGCTTCTTTAGGAGGGTGCTAGGGAACACAGGTCCTCACATGTGCATGGCAAGCCGTTCACCTACTGGGCTATCTCCCAGCCCTTCATCTCCTTTGTAAACACTGAAAAAGTGTCTTCATAGGAGAAATTTAGGTATTCCTGACTGAAGTTACACTCAGTTCTGATCGTTTAAATGTATACCAACACGTGAGCTTTATATATCCTTATGCAGACAGACAGCAAGTCTATCATCTAAAAACTACCAAAAAGCTTGAGATGGCATCAAACAGCAGAAAGGCAGATCAGTCTTCTTTCCTTCCTTTCTTTCTTTTTTTAAAGACTGATTTTATTTTTACGTGTATATCTGTGAGAATATGCTACACGTAGGTGCCCACAGAGGCCAGAGGAAGGTTATGGATCCCCTTGGAACTGGAGTTCCAGGCAGTTGTGAGCCCCCTGATCTGAGTGCTGGGAACTAAACTCTGGTCCTCTGGAGAGCAGGGGCTCTTTCCAATCCCACAGCTCAGTGTAGCGTTTTACTACTGGAACAGAAAAACAAAATGCCTGTTAAGTATGACATAAAGATAAAGTGGCTGAATGGTACTAGGCCTGATGTCTTTCTCAGGCACAGCAAAGGCTAGAGAAAATAAAGACATGCCTGCACCCAATTTCATCAAAAATTAGCATTACAGAAGCCAGGAAGTGGTGGCCCACACCTTTAATCCCAGCCCCTGAGAGGCAGAGGCAGGCAGCTCTCTGTGAGTTCAAGGCCAGCCTGGTCTACAGAGTGAGTTCCAGGACAGCCAGGGCTGTTACACAGAGAAACCCTATCTGGATTTTTTGTTTTTAATTAGCATTATGGTACTTCAGGAAATGGGTCAAACACGTGATAATACGAGTAAACAGAAGCACCCAGCTGCCCCATCCGAAGAGCACACGGACTGGGAGCGACACCTGCCCCCCAGAAACTTACAGTATAGGGACCCTGACTAACCAAAGAACTATGCCTAAAAATGACATTTTTTTTCCTAACCACAAATTGTGACCTGTGAATCGATTTTGTGGAATTCCGTCAGCATTTTCTTTCCAGTGAAAGAAAGTGGACTGTAACAGAATCAGCAGAAGGCACCTAACAAGGGTAAACACTGCTGTGTGAAACCAGACATGGTGCCTCGTGTCTTTGAGCTCAGCACCAGGGAGGCTGAGACAGGAGGAGTACCGTGAGCAGCAGGCTAGCCTGAGCTACAACAGTGAGTTCAAGGCCAACCATGCCAAGAGATCCTGCATCAGAACACAACACGCACACACAAAGACACTCCTTTGTGAAACTTCACATTCATAAGTAGGTGTATGTACTAGATCACAATGTCCTTATTACTGTGAGGTTGTTGGTTTTTCCTAAGTGAAAAAGTCATTACATAGAGAAGAAGACTCACAGCCAAAGGACCCAGGCTGACTAACCATACTTAGTCCTCAGGCCCTGCTCAAGCTCTCTGCTCAAGACAAGCCTATGGAAACCTACTCAAGAGCTTCAGAGACAGACACAGACACAAAGAAGGAACACAGCAAGGGTAGGCCCAGCCAAGCCTGTGGTTGCCCGGGAAGGCCTTCCCACCTTCCCCAAACAATCTGCTCAAGCTCTCTTTGCTCGGGATGGGCCCATAGAAACCTATTTAAGAACTCCTTGGCACACACACAAAAACAGAGAGAACAGAGACAAGTCCCAGCCAAGCCCTTAGCTGGCCTCGAGGTCCTGCCAGCCCGAAGAGGGTGCCTACAAACCCGTGTAGCTAAGCAACCTTGGAGTGAGGCTCCTCCTTCCTCTACAGTGTGTCAACAGTTCAACTCTTCCAATCAACTTCCCTCAACTTCTGCAGCCGCTGCCGGTGTCCCTACGGGGCAACTCTTCCCTTCCTTAAATCCCAGGCTGGCTCCCTCTATTAGCAGTCCCAGAAGCCTGTATTCTCCAATCTCCACACACCGCTCACCACAGATTCTTCCACACCATCCCCAGGAAGTCACGATGAGGGTCTCCTGGCAGCTCTCCCAATCTCACTACGACTTGCGGCAAATATATGCTCCCCGAATTCCTATCAAAGTATGTGCTTTGAGAAAGTCCTGGTAGGGCCAGGCCGAGTGACCCAGGCGTGTAGGACCAGCTGCTCTTTCCCAGTAAGACACCAAACCTTACAGACGGAGACACACATTTTCCTGATTCAGTGATCTCCAAGCTAAGTTTCCCACCAAGGGAGCATCTTCCATACCCCAGGCCTCAGGGAGTCTGGGAGCATCCTGGCTTACTCCCACTGCCCAGCCTCCCTCTGTCAATGCTCCATCCTCCCGGGGTCCCAGGCCTGGCCTCGTACCCCCGCTGCCCTCCTTAGGAGAGCACGCCTCGGGCCTCTGGCCCCAGCGGAGCGGCGGCCGAGCTACACTCACCCCTCGGCCCGGGAGGCGGCGGCTGCTCAGGCTGCGCCTCCGCCCGCCCGGCCACCGCCGTCGCCTCCGCTCGGCCTCCGGCCTGCTCCCGGCCGGCCCCGGCCCGGCTCCGCTTCACCTCGACCCCCTCTCCGGCCGCCAGAGCCCAGTGTCCTGCATTGACCCGGAAGCAGCTTTCGAGGGGCCCCCCAACAACAACACGTGACCCCGCCGCACGTGTCACGTCCGCTGCGTGATTGGGAGGGGCCGGGCGCTGAGCCTCCTAGACCAAGCTGCGGTTGCCATGGCAACCGGGATGGTGGTATCCACCTAGACATCAGAAATGCACTCTGTCCGCTTGCTTTTCTTACTGGCGCAACAGGGGACTACCCCCAGGTCCGAGGACCGATCCCTTGCAAGAGAAATGTCTCCGGAGAAAGGATCCCTTGGACTGAACCTGGCCAAACACACCAGCAATTTTAGCCTGTCTCTGTGTGACCCTCACTATTTGTGACACTACCTGTCGCTGACTTCACTGACCTCATCTATAAAATGTGCTGTAAGCTCTCTCTAGACTTCATAAGCATTTAGGTGTGGGGACAGTCTGACCTTTGTTCTGTGCCCCCTCCAGTCCTGTGGCACCTGGAACTTTCAACACTAACAGTTAACAGCTTTCGCCTACTGGGTGTTTTATTACCCACAGCCACTAAACACATGAGATTAAAAAGTATTATTAATAATAATAATAATAAGAGCCGGACAGTGGTGGCACACGCCTTTAATCTCAGCACTCAGGAGGCAGAGGCAGGCGGATCTCTGTGAGTTCGAGGCCAGCCTGGGAAAGGCGCCAAAGCTACTCAGAGAAACCCTTTCTCAAAAAACAAATAATAGTACTAAAAATAAATAAATAAATAAATAAATAAATAAATAAATAAACAAACAAACAAATAAAAACTTCTGCAAAGCTCCTAAAGGAGATATTTTGTAGAATTGAAACTTGAAGTTGGGAGTCCAGTGATCTGTCAAGACCACCTACTTAGTCAAAATAGACAGGCTGAGACTAGAAGCCCCGTCATGTTAGCTCCAAAGAACATATGTTTCACACCAGGTCATGCTTAGCCCCAGCTCTGGAAGCCTCACACCTGGATGCTGGGCTGTTTGTTTTTGTTTTTCTCTGTTCATTTCTTCGTAGGACACTGCCTGTGGAATGCAGATGGTGCAGGCTGATCCTAGGAGGACCCAGCCTTGCACAGATACATGAGTGGAAATTCTAGGAGCTGAAGAGATCTTATGCATGAAGTCCATGTGCATTTGTGCAGTGTGTGTCCAGGAAGATGTGGGGGAATGCTATGAACAACACATATGAATATATTGATGTTTTCCTAGAGAGAGGAAAAAATCTTTAGGTAAGTCCAAGTATAGCTTACCATCATCAGTCCCTGGGGACTTAAATTGGTCATTTTCTTTTGTTTTGTCTTGTCCCATAGGTGGGACTTAGGCTGGAGGGAGACACGAGAAGGACCTGGTTAAGGAATGAGTTCCAAAGACGAATGAGTCAGGCAATGAGTGGGCTTACAGAACTCAGAAAGGTGATTGCCTCCAGCCCAGGAAAGCACTTTACTTACGAAAAGTAACGACTTGGAGGGACTGGGGTCATAGGCAAGACCACAGCTAAAAGCAACCTCCATGGGGAGGATCATGCAAAGAGCAGAGGGACCTGGGGGACCCTGTGAGGAGCAGAGGGCCCTGGGGGACCATGTGAGGAGCAGAGGGAACTGGGGGACCCTGTGAGGAGCAGAGGGAACTGGGGGACCCTGTGAGGAGCAGAGTGACCTGGGGGACCGTGTGAGGAGCAGAGAGAACTAGGGGGCCGTGTGAGGAGCAGAGTGACCTGGGGGACCATGTGAGGAGCAGAGGGAACTGGGGGACCCTGTGAGGAGCAGAGGGAACTGGGGGACCATGTGAGGAGCAGAGGGAACTGGG